CAGCTGACTGCATTGAATGGGTTTAATGGGAGTTGAAGTCCAAAACACCTGGAAGGTATAATGGGTGGGGAGGCTGGATCAACTTTGTGCAAGGAAACGAATCTATGTTTTCCACCTCCCACCCACCCCAACGGAGCATGTTCTGGGGTAGTTTAGTTGGGGGTGCAGTGAGGAGCATACTGTGCTTAAAAAGGGACAGCGATTCAAATGATCATTCTGGTTTTTGGGTGCTTATTTAGTACACATTCTGCTGCTTTGTTATGAAAGCAGAGGTGGCACACATGGTGTTTCCAGGTGACATCCCTTCCAGGCACTGACTGGGCCCGGACCTGCCTAGCTGCAGCAGGGTGGCTATATCAAGCCATGCTGTAGTTATGAAGTGCACTGGGTGACCTTAGGCTGAGAGGGACCAGTTCTTTACAGGATGGTTACAGGACAGAAGAGGGAATACTCTCTGCAAGCCAACTTGAGTCTTTTGGAGTAAAAGTGAGTTAGGAATAAATAAGTGAACTTAGGAGAGGAAGAGATTTCTTTAGATTTCTGTAACGTGCTCTGCGTGGGGCTACCCTTGAAGATGGTCCGGATACTTCAATTGGTGCAGAATAGAGCTGCCAGGCTGCTGACGGGGACTGGGCATTGTTCTCATATAACCCCAGTTCTCCGTCAGCTCCACTGGCTCCCGATTGAAGTCCGGGCCCAATTCAAGGTGTTGGTTATCACCTATAGAGCCCTCAACGGCTTGGGCCCTGGGTATCTAAAGGAGCGCTTGCGCCCATATATGCCCTCCCGCCCCTTGAGATCAGCAACAGATGCCCTTCTCCGGGAGCCCTCTGTGAATGATATTAGGAGGGTGAGCACCCGGAGGAGGGCTTTCTCTGCAGTGGCGCCCCATCTATGGAATGCGCTCCCCAGAGAGGTCCGCCTGGCGCAGTCATTATTTGTTTTTCGGCGTCAGGCTAAGACTTTTATTTAAAACTTATTTTAATTGTTAAATTATTGAATTAATTAGGATTTTAAAATTTTTAGCCAAGAATGCACCGGGGGTTTTTAAACGATTTTTTAAAATTGTTATATTATCATTATTGATGTGTGTATTTATGTATTCTTTGTGAGCCGCCCCGAGGCTTTGTTGCGATGGGGGCAGCATAGAAATGTTTTAAGTAAATAAATAAGAGACAAGAGTAATAGAATTATACTTGGAAAACAGTCTGCTGCTTAATATTTTTAATGTTCTGTCTGTACGCAGAGCTATGTTGAAATGCCACAGGAAAACATAAAAGTTATATATTGCATATTGATTTCCACTTAATTACTCTTAACTTTTTTCTCTCTCCCTCATTGCAATCATATTTCTCTATCTTAACAATTGTCAAAATTAATATGACAATTAAAAATATGTGGGCGATGCCTGCTGTGATCATGAAAATGGGTGCATTTTTAGTGTGTGTCTATGCCCTGCTGTTGCATAAGATCTTTGGTAGTAAGGGAGACACAAGAGCCCCCTGTATTCCTTCCCTTCATTACTAGAAAATAAAAGTAATGCAAGATAGTAAATGTTGTAGAACAAGTTATGTAGAAGATTAATAAATTTGCATAATTTGTGTCACAACATTCAAGCATGAATTACTTTTGGTGCTGTCTTGAACTGTCAAAGGAGATGCTAACACTTTGGTGCACACCCATTTAATGAGGAGGTTTCCCTGCTATTGAACCCATTTTTGGATTCTCAAACCTCAGCTTATTCATCTGAGTGAGGTCTGAGGGGCAGAACTGTTTATGTACTAGCATGGAAGATCTAGCTCTTAAGAAAGAAGAGTGAAGACGGCTATTGCCTAGCAGTAAAGGCTTCACAGATATAGAAATGATTATTGTCAGGCAGTGGCCCTGATTGTATGTATGGAAATAAAGTGTGGGTTATCCTGCCCATTTTGCTTGTTTGCATCCTGCACATGAGCTGCCGGTTTGCTTCAAAATCCATCTCTGACTGACTTCATGAAAGGTGGTTGTATGATGTGCAAAGCCAGACCATGAGTCGTTCAAGGGTTAAACTAACCACAAAGTTGCCTTTTCTTTACTGAGCTAAGTGACATAATTTGCAAATTCATCTTCTTGATCAGTGTGAATAGAACAAAAGTCTCAAGTAGAAGTGCTGTGAGTAGGTGATAATTACATTTTATAAATGTCCACAAAGTCACAATAGCATTAGTGGCAGGGTTATGAATTTCTTTGACTTCCTGCATGTTTAAGCTTTCCATTTTCTACTGCTCACTGCATTGGTGCTATGAGAAATGGAGGCTGGAGGTTGGAAATTGTAGTGTATTGTCACAGTATACCTATGGGAATGCATTTTTAATTCAGGTCTGTCCAATCTTAGTTGGGTAACCTGCAGAGGGGAATAGTTCCCTGATGCTTTTCTCTGATGCTTCTAAATTAGCCTATAAAGGTTTCTAGCCTGCTCCCCTCTTTTTCTAGGTTAGATATGGAGGAAGGAAAGCCCTCCTCAGTGGCTAGCATGGAAATGCAGCCCTCTAGCTTCTTGGAAGGCAAATATTTTACCAGCTTGTTGCCAAGCAAGCTGATGGAGGAGGAATGGGGCTTAGGTAGCCCGTTCAGTCACCTGCATGGAATTCCTTGTCTACATCAGGAGTGTGCAGAAGGTAGATCTCCAGATAGTTTGCACATCAACTCCCAGAAGTCCCTCCCAACATGGACATTTGTCAAGAATACTGGGAGCTGAAGTGCGTAACATTTGGAGATCTTACTTTCTGCCCATCCTTGGTGTAAAAATGGGTGAGTTGTTAAATATGTGGCTGTCCAACACTATTCCAAAGCTCTTGTGCGCTTCATTGTAACGTTACTTTGTGAGGCATACAGCGCAGCAGTCAGTAGGATTCCTAATGAAAGGGTGGGTTGGACTAGCCTCTGTTCTGTATTATCTGATGTGATGGGAAGTGCAGTGCACAAAGTTATGGCTATGCCATCTCTTTGGCTGACTTAGTAAGGTGCAGCTATGTTCCAGATGGGGAATTAATAACTCTGCACACTCTCTCCATTTGCATCATAGCGATCATCATCAACCTGTCCTTAGTACGGTCAGGCTCCAATTTTCATGCTTATATGGGAGTAAGCCCCATTGAATATAGTGTGGGTTATGAGTAAACAAGCACAGACTTGTGCTGTCAGAATTGATACACATGAACAGGTATCATAGCTGTTCTTCTCTGAAGTCTGAAACAGAGGTCAGACTTATTTAGAAAACTTAGAATGGATGAAATCTAGGTAAAAATTACCCCTTTTTTCTGGAAGGTATGCTGAATCAGGGCGCTGTGTCAAAAATGGCAACATGAGTCAGCCCCTCGTGGCAAGGCTTCTTATGTGACTGTGCTCCTCACTGGGTTTGTAGGGCTGTTTTTGAATTATGATAGATGGGAAAGGCCATAAACAGGTGTTGTGCTAGAGCACATGTGTGCAACTGGTCGTTGGTGCAAGTCAGAGCAAACAGCCTGTGGAAGGCAACCGTCCTCATGTCAGTTATTGCTCCTGTATCATGGGTGAATCCCCAAAGGGGAAATTGCTTGTAGTAGTTCATATATTCATTGCACGAGTAGTGGGCCTCCTTTTCATGGAAACTGGGCTGTAGGAAAATAGTGCACATACTTTGCAGGTTCAATACTTGCCATCTCCAGATCGGGTTGAAAGAACTTCTGCATGAGATCTCGGAGAGTGGCAGAAGTGTTGACAATACCGAGCTAAACAAACTCAGTAATGTTAATAGAAGGCACTTTGTATGTTCCTGTGACGAGCCTGTGACAAAATAATACAGCCAGGTTTATACTAAATCAGCATGGGGTTTGGAATCAATTGGATTAGTCTTTGAAATATCTGTAAAGATTTCATTCTGACTGCTCTTTAGTTATATATACTAGTTTAGTGTTGGACAGCTACTGAAGAGATCCTGGCTCTTGTCTCCACTTAGCTATGAAGCTCACTGGGTGACTTTGGGGTAGCCATGGATTGTCAGCCAAACTGTCTCACAGAGTTGTGAGGATAAAGTGGAGAGGAAAACCTTCTCAGCTCCTTTGGGGTTCTTGCATAGACAGAAAGGCAGAGTATAATATAATACAACAACAACAATAATACTTATAACCTATCACACTGCTCAGATGCTAAAATTTGCCCATATTGCTGGGGACCAATAGCTTATTTCTCAAAAGAACATCTTCAGATTCCAGGTAGCCAGAATCTTGCAAATTTGGCAATATACAGGTGCTCAGAATAGATACTGCCTTCCTTGTATCTTATGTAACAAATGTTGTCAAACAGTATTTCCTGATAAAAGTAAGTTAAACTTTAAACTTACCATTTAAACTGTCTCTCTCAGCAGTAAAAGTCTGAATTCCTACTGTGTTTTGTTTGAACAGATCTGGAGGCCAATAACAGCAACATTCTATTTCCCTGTTGGCCCAGGAACAGGTTTTCTTTACCTGGTGAACTTATATTTTTTGTATCAGTATTCAACGCGACTAGAAACAGGTAACCTATCATTAAGTGTGCATAGCTGTGTGAGCATGTGAATTAGTTCTTACATTGAGGACACACATTACCTACCTCTTGCTTTTATACACCTCTCAATTGGTCTTGCAGAGATGGCCAAGTTAGCATCTCATTATACTAAACATTTTAAGTAAAAGTGTGGCCAGATTCGTGCATAAGCCAGAACCGCTGGCTTTTTCTGACTTATGGTGGATGAGCAAAATGCTAAGACATGTAGCTTATTCACAATGAACCAGCAATTCTAGTTTATTGTTAATTAAAAGAGTAATAGGTGGTCATAAGACTCTCAAGGCACCATAGAGAACCAATATTAAAGCATGATCAGTAACAAAGATTAAGAATGGAGTATTGAAAACCTACATTGACTGTCAGTGCTTAAAAAGCAAAAGAGTCACAAAGTAGAACAGAAATGTCTTCACCACCTGCCAGAAACTAAGCAAGGGAGAGGATGACCTAGCCCTTCTGGGGTAGAATTCTATAATTGGAGTTCTGCCACAGAAGATAGGAGTAAGCAGATGCTTGTGCTGTGGAAATATGCAAATGTGGGAGCTTGTCTGGCAAGGGTATCAGTCCTGAGAGGAAGATGAAGTCTAACTAGTAAAACGGACGCTGTGCAACCTGTTTGAAAGTGGGCTTTCAGTTACGCTATGAAACAAGAGGAGGGAGCCATTAATTTCTCTTCTGTTTTCATCTGGCCCATTCTGGAGTCTTGTTTGTAGGTCTCCATCTGTGTCTTGGCCGGGGCTCCCATGGCAGACAGCAGATGAGTTGCCAAGGGATATAGGCAAGACATATCAGGAAGATTTTTCCTTATTGACAATTACTAATGCAAACATGCAGTTCATATATAACTTATGAGTCTTAATGGGGCGGTGGTTAGTAATTATAGCATACAGACCTAGTTCTTAAATATATACATCTTTTTAAAAACACTCTCACCATGATGTGGATGCCATTTGAGACCCTCCCTAGGGCTGCAGCCTGTACCCTGGGATTAAGGCTTACCTGGGATTAAGGCTGATTGTGTAAATTTGCACAGTAAGTTTGCTTCCCATGGTATTTGCAGAAAAATAACACCAGGTGCAAAGCTGTCACCTGTATTGCATAGGCATTTCTGCAGAATAATACGTTTAGGGGTGTGTTAAAACAGCCAGTTTTTAAAGGTACAACTTCACTGAAGAAAGCCCCTCTGCCTATTCCTGTAGGCTAGTGAAAGAGAGCAGCCTCTTATTTCTTTCTCTGCACTAAAGTTGCAGTTGTGTCCTGCAATATAATCATAGCCCTTAAGAGCCAGCCAGTGCCTCTTGGGGGAAGTTAGCAAAACAACTGCCAGGATTTCAGAGTCACGCTAATGCTGTGCTTTGTTCACAGGTGCTTTTGATGGAAGGCCAGCCGACTATGTGTTCATGCTTCTCTTTAACTGGCTCTGCATAGTTGTATCCTTTTTTCCTTGGCACCAATATCCCAAATGTTGTAATGTTTTGAATCCTGGGAAAACATACACAGAGGTGCTGTGAATCTCACCTGCAAGATGCACAGTTGCCCAGTTCAGATCTTGGCTAAGTGACAAGGCTGCTGAGTGGTAATCATGATTTGGCTCCTGTTTTCCTCTTTGCAGTGTATCTAATAATATTGGGCTTTCTTTATATAAAGTGGGATGCCAGGGAAAGATGTAAGAATCACATGTGATGAACTTGGTATAAATATAAAGAGTTACAGTTAGTCACAAATCTCAGTAAAGGCCACGTGTCTGGCTTCTAAAATGTTTTCTTCTGTACGGGGCCCTTTTTTTCTGAGAATGTGTGCATGGGAGGGGGAGGGAGGGGGAGAGGGTCAGTACAACCATTTGGAAGGCTGTGTCCATGGCAGGGTGTCCCAGACAGTATGTGCCTGGCTCAAAAGCTCGTTGTTGTTAAATCAGCAGCACAAGTGCTTATTTTTGTGATGTTTGGCTTTCCTTAGTCAAAACAATGATAGATCACTGGCTTAGCAATGAATATGCAGGTAAGTCTCTCTCTGGTTTGCAAGCATTCTTGCAGTTAAGGAGCTTGCTCTTCAAACTGCTGCTTGTACTCTGGTCAAGTAGCAAATTCATTTGGATCATGTGAAAGAGAAGCACCCTCTGTGTGTGTATTTTGCTGCCTTCCACTCTAAATGAGTGAGGAGTTAAGGGAAAAATGGGGTCAGTCTTTGCTTCTGAAGATTTGGAAGAGTGCAGCCACACACAAATTGTACAAGTTACAGTCCTAGGGGAATATGGTTTCATTCAGACTAAGAATGAAAAGTAGAGTAAGAGCAGAGCTTATCATTTCCCTCACTTCTCCCTCCCCTGCCCTCTGAAGTGGCTGTGAATTTAGGAAACGTTTACTTCTTTTTTTATTTTTAAATTAATTATAGTTTAGCCTTGTCCAAACCCGAATATACAGTGCAAGTATTAACTGTAATTTTGCAGAAAGAAGGCAACCTCAAAACCTTGGCTTCTGAAGCTGGCTTGTTGTCCAGAACCTAGTTAATACTAGCCACAGTTTATGGTTCAGTTGTAATGCTAAGCTGCAAAAGCTTCCAATTTTGTAACCGCACTAGAGAAGTGGAGAGGAGGAGAAGAGTATATGAACTCCAGATTTATTCATGTAACAATAAACTTTAGTTTATAATTGTGACTGAATGCAGTCTGTTGATAGCCAAGGTATTAAGGTTGCAGATGTCAAGAGTGGGTATGCTCTAAGAGCATTCTTTTCCAGCCAGATTTTAAGTAGCTGCCCTAAAATCTTTTTCCCGTATAGCAGATAGCACTTACGGGACATTCCCAGAGCCTCAAAGTAGCTGGAAGGGGGTCCTTCTAACCATGCCATGTGCTGCCTTCAATTCACAAACTCTGGTTTCCCTGAGCACCTTGCTTGCTCCTGCAGCAGTTGGCTTCTAGAAGGAGAGTGCTTCTTTTTGTTACTTCTGCAGTGAGATATCTCAAGACTAACACTTTGCTTGGGAGTTTCATGAAAGTACCACTTGGGATTGTGCCCATGAACACGAACATGTGGCTATCCTGCCAGCTTGCCCTTCCGTACATTTGGCCTGCCTTCTCCATGTTCTTTGTAAGGCCTGCTGTCCTCTACCTCAAATCCTCACCGTCTTAGAAGGAGCTTCCTCAAATGCATGCAGTTTCTGTACTGTAGCAGAGCAAGAGAGAATTATATTAAACATTTGCATTGAAAACATTCAGCAAGTCTCCCATTTCCAAGGCACGGGAGGCAGATATGTGTCGTATAACATGGTCATGAAATGAACTAAGCTTAGTTGTTGACACCTTTGTGTAAAAAAACAAAAAACCCAAAACAACCTCCATCCCCAAATTCTCCCTCCCCTTTAACAACTTTGCTTCTCTTGGTATCTTCTTTGTAAAGAAGAAATCACCTTTTTTCTTGCAAAGTATCTAGTTACGTAAGTCCCCAAACAAAAGTTCTGAATAAGGAGACCTAAAGACCTTTGTGGTCAGGGCTGAATCCTACAGTGTCATGGAATCAAATTATATACTCCATTTTAATTTCTATTCCTTGATCAGGCTTCTCTGTAATCCTGAGGTCTGCAGTCGGGAGCTTATTTCCATAGAAGTACGTCTTGGTAAAATCAGCAGGACCGAATTTGTAGAATAAGCCCAAACTGAGAATGGTGTCAGGCTTTCATGAATTGTGACCCATTGTGCTGAAGGCAACTGGTCGGCTGTGTCTTCTGGCTTCATGGGTCTTGACAGTGCTCTCTGTTCACCATCTTAGAAAACCTGGTGACATGTTCACAGCAATGATTTCTGGTGGGTTTTGTGCTGCCATGTATGGGGAGCAGCTCTCCAGCCTCCAAGATGTGTTTGAGTAGAGCTCCCATTAGCCATGCTGGGTGTGGGAGGCAATGGGAATTGTAGTCTAATCTATCTGGAGCATACTAGGCGGTTACTGCCATAGATAGAACTGAACATGTTTATTTGCATTACAGTTTTTCTTGGATTGTCTGCAGTTGCTCAGTACTGCTATATCCATTCTCAATTATTTGTTTCTCCTTTCTCCTGTTTCTCTTATAGTTGCTGATGATTCCCCTCATCATGTCAGTGCTCTATGTTTGGGCCCAGCTGAACAGAGATATGATTGTGTCATTTTGGTTTGGGACACGGTTTAAGGTAAGGGCTTTTCCAAAGTCTTTTGCCCAACCCAAGGGACTGCCACCCTCTGATTAAGAAAGAGAGGAAGTTCTCCCTGCCTGTAGGTATTCCGTGAAGTTTATTGAAGGAATGCTGGCACTTAATGTGCTGCTCTGAAGATACTTGTCCTCCATAACTTTGTGCAGGATAGAGCTGGAAATGGGAACGTGTATCACAATCATAGTGGAAGTAGATACAAGTGAATCTACGGCTCTTTTCCTTCACTGTGTGGATGCTGTAAAAATATGCTGAACCACTGCAACCAGGTGTGGACTTGATGGGTCTTATGTTGTTCCTTGACTTTACCCACCTTCCCAATATTACTGGCTACCTCATCTCTGTGTCTTGCCATTGCTGCTCTCTATTGATGTTTGGAGGTTAGGCTTACTGCGAGGTACTGGCTTTATGGGAAGGAATATGGTATTGTTGTGGTCTGGGGTGTGATGAGGAGGGACAAGGAAAGAAAGATAATGCAAAAGGGTAGGAAAAGGCTAGGCTGAGGAGGAAATGCTTGGGTCAGCTGAGGTCAGGGGTTCCATGAGATGGACCAAAAAATGAAGGGCATCTACCAGCCATATGAGAGGCTCAAGGGCGCAATTCAGTTCCCTCCCCCCAAAAATACACATAAGCCACTGTGCTTGCTCTGTTAATCCAGTGCACAGAGCGAGGGGGGACAGTGATGATTTGCATTTCATCTAGATGGCTGTTTTCAGATGTCTAGACGAAAGTGCTGCAGAGAGGAGAGGAGGAGCTGAGACTAGGATACAGTGTAAGCTGTTGACCCTGTTGCTCCTTTCTGAGGCTGATCTTCGGCCTTTCTGTGTTGTCAGTGAAGGGGGTGAGGTGTGCACTCCTGAAGAAGTTGAGGCTATAGAACTGCTCCCTAATCAGTTTTTAGAAGGTGTCTTGGATGTTGCAACCCAAGGGAAGAAGTTCTTTCAAAGTGTGAATTACACACAGTCTGTTCATTTGAACTGTGCAAATTCTCTTGAGCTGTTTTCTTCTGAATCTTTTTAGCTATAGCACTTGGAGAATGCTTCTGTGCTATCAGATCATGCTATTTATTTTAATCCCTTGCAGTGTACCTCAGTACGTATGTAATTTTCTGTGGGTTATGGAATTACATTTGGAGGTGTTCATAACTTACACTGTATATACTATTGTTCTAGGCATGCTATCTACCATGGGTTATCCTGGGATTCAACTATATCATTGGAGGCTCGTAAGTATTCTCAAATCTTTGTGCATGTGCTTGTCCCACACACATATGGAGTACAGGGGGCAATATCCAGTCATGACGTTTGCTCACTCTAAACACGTCATACTAGTGGAAATGTTCACTGTGGTTCCTAGCACAGCATGAAACTGGCTGCAACTATGGCTCCCACAGCAGGACAAGGTAGTGGAACAAATTTCAGCTGTTTCCTCGCTTGTGCTAGCAAATGTTTATTTCCTGTGACAGTAGTGGATTTTCCCACTAGTGCAGTGGCAGCATTGAATGCTGCCTAGTGCATCTTACTTAAATATCTGGAAGGGCATCCAAAATATTTGGATGCTTGTGAAATTATGGTGGAGGACAATCTTTCCCTCCCTTTGGCCAGTCCTTCCATTGCTCTAACCTGCCGCTCTCCTTTGGTGGGTTCCTCTGTGAACAAGTCCCATGGTGAAAGCTCTCACAGGGACATTACAGGCACTGCTGTTAAGACCAGCCCTGTAAGCTGGGACAGACCCTGTTCTGAATGAGTTTGCTCATGCATGGGAAGTATATTGCTATGTTCTTCCCCCTTTAAGGATAAGATGGCCACATGATTAATGGCATGTAAAAATATCATTAATCTCTCCTATTCTTAAAATACGTTTTTTGAATATGTGACTGCTAAGAGTCAAAAGTGTTTTGGAGTGTGGAGAGGTATTTATCTTCCTATATAGGGGGTTCTCTTAGCAATATAGGACCAAGGTTGGCCCACTTGGGGAAAGATTCTATTCCCATTTAGACAGAAAAAAAATTCCTACAAATCCCAGGAAATCTTAACATGGAAGTCTTAAGACCCTTTCTCTGTCTAAACATGTATATGATTGTGCTTTTAATATCTTTGGCTATATGTGGAAGTGGTTAAGGCTACCAGTAAGATACTGCTTGGGTACAAAGCAGACTCTGCTAGGAGAAGGTCAGATAATTGCTTAGATTTTCAGCTGTTCTACTGTGTAGTCAGCCTGTCCTAAAACAAAAACCAAACAAAATCAAATTGCCCACTTAATAGCTTCCCCTTGGCCATGTGAAAGTAAAATTGAAAGCACTTCCAGTACTTCCTAAAGGTTTTGGTCTTGTTCAAGTCTCTGGAGGAAGAGTGTTTTCTCATTCTGGGGCAGCTGCTGAAAACACTACTGAAATATGTCCTTGGTTTCCCTTTATTTTTTTTCCTTGGGTACTTCCTCTCCTGGATGTCCGGTGGAGAGATTAGTTTAGTAACTCCTGACATCTGGAATCCAAGAGAGAAAGGCCTTCCATAAGGATGATCTATGTGTATCTCAAGGCCTTGAAAAGCAAAATAGAACAAGTTGGAATAGATGATTGTAGACAACCTTTTTCATTCTTGTATGAATTAGATGGATTAATGGATGATAAGGCAACTAATGGTTACCAGTGGTGATGACTGTACATTACCTCTGGTATTAGAGAGAGGATGCCTCTGTATACTAGTTGCTTAGGAATAGAAACGGGGTGCTCTCGAACTCATGTTCTGCACATAGGTTTCCCACAGCAGCTGCTTGGGGACCGTGAACCAAATGCAGGACTAGAAGGACTGCTGGGGCAGTATTCTACTGTGTTATTCTGTTGGCACAAATAACCTTGTGCTTGTGGAAACTAGGTTCCAAACTATGCCCAAGAGAAGCATCCAGTGCCTGCTTTTTGTGTAAAAGTGGTTGCACATTTCAGTTACAGAACTGGTTGCCTTGGTTGCAGGCATAAGGAGCAACTGCTTGCACAGAAGAAAAGTGTGGTGGAGCTCCTTTAGTGGTATTTGAGTTTGCAGAGTGACACTTTTGGATACTGGCTTTGGCTTGATCCAACTTGACTCTTCTATGTTCTTGCACTGTGGCTTCGTCATTCCTGGGATTCAAGTACACCGTTATTGCAATTGCCTCTCAACTTTATGTTGATTCTAGCCCTTAGGATTCATTTTGCCAAAATTCCAGGATGTGTATCTTCAAAACTAAGTATTTGTTCTTCAACCAGTATTGAACACTTGAGAAACTTGGCTTAGGTTATTTCCTAGTTGAGGCCTACATGCATGTGACTCCCATACATTTCATAAGTCAGTCACTGAATTGAATGGGACTTACTCCCATGTAGTCTAAAATCTTATACATCAGCTTTTCTCAACCACTGCCTTCCAGATGTTTTTGACTGCAACTCCTGTGAGCCCAAGTCAGCATGTCCAATGACCAAGGATGTTAGGAATTTTTGTCTAAAACGTTTGGAAGGGACCGGGTTGAAGAAGGCTGCCGTACATCCTACGACATGTTCAGATTGGTAGTAGAAATGGTTTTACTGAAAGTTAACTGTATAAAGCACTCTGTCAAGTGTTAATATTCCCTGGAGACTGCATTCTTTTTCAACAGCAAGAGCTGTTAGGCTGGTGGATCCTAGGAATAAGGCTTTGTCAGTGGTGGCCCCATCTCTGGAATTCCCTTCCCAGGCAGATAATATGAACTCATCCCCCTGGAGAAACCTTCCAGGCCACACTTGGTGCTTTAAAAAAATTAGGTGCTGCTACTGCTATGTATATACTTAACTGAAATGTGTTCGTTAATGTGTTTGTAATGTATGTCACCTTGTGGAGGCAATGCATCCTGATAGGTGGGTTAAAAATCTTGTTCCTTGTCCCCTGCAGTATCATCAATGAGCTGATTGGCAATCTGGTTGGTCATCTGTACTTTTTCTTAATGTTTAAATATCCAATGGACTTGGGAGGAAGAAATTTTCTTTCGACACCTCAGATTCTGTAAGTTGGTTGAGTTCTCTCTTTAAAAGGTCAGGCTTGCTCACTTTGAAAATAATGTTGATCTATCCCAGCTAATCAGTTGAAAAGAATTACAGTGGCAATGAGAGAATTTAGGTGGTGCAAGAAGGGATTTTTTTTTAGGTGGATTTACTCATAATCAAGTCAGTTCTTACATTTTAGCAAATTGTGTGTCTCTGACAGAAGATAGGCAGTAATCTGCTAGGCCGAAACTTTAGGAGCCGCCAGTCAAAGAGAGGAAGAAAAAAAAAGTCAGATAAACCTAGAGGTCAATTCACCTGAAGCAAAACCAGTGTGTTGCAGAACCTCCATCTAGACATGGGCTTTCTCAGATCTGCCTTGCATGCCACTTTATAAAAAAAAAAAAGATGCTTGCTCCAACAGCAGACTTCCTCATGTTTTACCTCCCTCCAGTTTTCCATCAGCTGTGTTCTTTTTTCATTCTGTCAATGTGCAGCCCTGTTAGTACTAACAAGTGCCGGTCTCGCTACTCCAGATCCTTTGGCCTACAGCTCCCTAGCCAGCATAACCAATGGAGAGGAATGACAGGGGCTGTTGGCCAAAACATCTGGAGCACCACAGGTTGCCCTCTCCTGGTAAATAGAAAGCAAAACTGGAACTGACTGGCAAATGAAAACTGGGTGTGGTTGCTCTATGAACTGTATTCATATGCAGTGGATTTTCACCAAACCAGGAAGGGCAACACTCCTACAATTTGCCCGGATCTTAAAATCTAAACTGGCAGAAAGAACTGCAACACCGAACCTTTAAAAATACTTCTCTGAATTGAAAGGTTGACTTTTGTGCAGCGGGTGGGGGACAGGAATGTGTAAAAATCCAGCATCCAGTGAATTTCTTGTTGGTTGTGCACCTGCATATCTCTGAGCAGCTCTTTTGCTTGCCTCCCAGGTATCACTGGCTTCCCAATAGGAGAGGAGGGGTGTCTGGATTTGGTGTGCCGCCGGCCAGCATGCGCAGACCTGCAGACAACCGGCAGGGCGATGGAAGACACAACTGGGGCCAGGGCTTTCGGCTGGGTGATCAATGAGGAGGACTCTCTGCTTCTTTCTTCTTTTGTGTGTGTGTATGCGTGAGGAACCTCTTTGACCGTTCGTGGGAATGATTGCTGCTGCGGAGCGTACTCAAGGGCCAGGTCTGCTCTGGTGCTCTTGGCTGTGGCTCATTAAGAATTTTTGTTAGCTCCTGGTGGAAGGGGACGCTTGGAAGGCACCAGAGATTTTTACACCCGGCTCTTGAAAAGTGCTCAACTCAGTGCTGCCATTAAAAAAAGAAACACATTTTGATCGTTGTCTAGCACAGTGTGCTTTCTCTTTCCAGTCTCTCCTCAGGTGAAAAAATGCTGTTCCATCTGACTTGTAAGCCTCAATTCATGTATGGGGCCTATTGAGTCCTCTTAATCTACTTTTCTCGTCCAAGACTGCCCTCCTTAACAGTGTAATTAATAAAAGCGTTGCTTTAAAGTTCACTCTAGTACTAACTAAACAAATTCAGGTATCTGTAGCTACATTTGCCTTTATTTAGCAGGAACAGACTGTTAAAGATTCCCTTTCTGGGGTCACCAAGTACTAGCTGATCAATTCCGATTGGTTTGTAGTAGGAGAGATGCTAGTTTGGGGCACTGAAGCAGGAAAGAAAGGGGTGAAGGGTGAACCCTAACTTTTGTCTGTAAAACTTGCTGCAGCCACCAGAATGCCACCACACTCTCTGCGTAGCAAAGCTGGTACACTTGAATGTCACTGTGTTGTGCACATTTCCTTGGGTGTAAGTCCTGTGGAGCTTGGCGAGACTGCGAGTAAATAACGTATGGGATTGACATAGTGTGCTTGGTGCTATGAAGATAATGGCTCCTGGGTGTGCATTGTGCATGTAAAGTTAAACAGGATAATGCATTTCTTGTGCAGGGTGTGGATGAGGACGTACTGGCAGCAGATCATAGTTTGGGTGACTTGGAACGAAATACTGTTTTTCTTAAAAATGAGGAACTGCTGGAACCAGGTTGCTGGGCTTAATAAAGCAGGTGGCAGCTTTCTCTTTCCTTTCCCCATCCCAGCCCTTTGCTTCTCATGTCGGAATAAGACTTGGGTGCCTAGTAACCTTTACTTTTGGAAACTAAGACTTCCCATTTTAGTATGAAAAAGGAGCAAGATATCATTGCACATCTGCAGAGATGTAGACAATTACTAGGTAGAGCAGCACTGGAGACTAGAGAAATAAATGTAGTTTTTGGCCAGCACGCCCTGATGGTGGCAGAAAGCAGTAGACCAGACTGTGTTTTCTCAGGCTGTTGGTCCCTTCCGTCCTCATTGCAGAACTCCTTGTGTTCCTTTGGCGCAGCCTTCCCCACTTGGGTGCCTCCAGTGGGCTACAACTGAACTTTGGCCGTGCGAGAGGGGACAGATGGGAGCGGAATTCCAAAACATCTGCAGCGTCCTTTGTTGGGAACGGCTGCCTTATTTCATACTGGTCAGGTGAAGTGGCTTACTGTGCAAACCCAAGAGACATCACAGCGATCCTGCTTTCATTCTACCCCCTGCCTCCAAAATCCCATTAGGATGTGTGTCTACTGTTTGTACATTCCCATCTGCAGATGTAGTTACAAACAACTGTTCATCTAGATGTGCTAAGAGATCTCGCTTCTCTAACACTGAAGAAAATGGGAAGCCCTGTGCAAGTGCTTCTGAATGCTCTCGTCTTTCCTACTGCTGGTATGATTTCCCCTCGTAACCTCTGACAGGTCTTCCACAAGTGTAGCTACTATTTGAATGCTGAGCTGGAAGGAAGGAATGATAAGCTGCCTGGGTTTCATGTTGACTGTGATTGGTTCCAAAATGTGTGAACGCCAAACCCCTTGTGGTGGTCTTTGTTAAAGAAAACCAAAACCTTGAGAATATTTGTCTCAATAGTCCAGAACGGTGTAGATCAAGAAATTATTTAGCGCTGTCCTCATGGTAAGAAATCTTCCAAAGGCTTAAATATATATATATTTAAATGACTGAAGTTCCAAAGGCCTAGAATTTCTGGCACGTCATTTGGGTTTATAGAGTGTGGGAAACCGGCTTCCTGTCATCTGGCCTTTGTCAAACCATTGTCCTCTAGTTGCTTGGATTACAACTCCCACCATGCCCAAGTGGGGATGATGAGAGCTCTATTCCAGAATCCCAGGAGGTGCTGATTTGAAGAAGGTTGCTGTAGTGCTTTTTCACTGGTTGTTCTGGGCTGGCATGCAATGTAGGGCTTGGGGGACAGAAGTGCATACTCCCAAGAACGTTGCTCTTTTCTTTCCAGCAGTTTTCCATAGCAAAAGAGTCAGGCACCTTCTTAACACTGAACTCCATCTTAAGGTTTTTGCAGTGCTAACTGCAAAACCAGAAAGTAAAGTTTGGGCTGTGCTGTATTCTTTCCCATGGGCAAATGGTCTTGGCCTAAGCAACATTTATTGTGAAGGTCAGAATGCCCAAACCCAGGTTCTTGATTTTAAGTGCAAAATCTTATGAAGCAAAAAGCCATTCTTTTAAGATCTGTATCTTCCCTGTTGTGAATTCTAGGAGAGACCAATCACTGCATTGTGTGTGGTATTATTGATTTGTTCTGTGCAAAGCCGAATTTCTTATGAAGACTATATCTGTGCAGCTCTAAGAGCTGATCAGTATATCCTGAAAAGGCACGTGAGTATAGACTTACAGGGACAGCACCTCTTGAGAATCTAGGCAGGAAATTGTAGGTTTGAATATGCCCCATGGGAAAAAATAGTGAAAAAATGGGCAGGGCAGAGCCAGTCTAGAACCATTCTTCCATGGCATGCCAGCTTTCTACTGGTAGGGCAACTTTGTGTTTGTTAAAAGGCTAGAGAAACCTATCCAACAATGTGATTCTCCACCTCTGTAGAAACAACAGTACTTCTAAAGTACAGTACTTTCGAAATTTTAGGGAACCCATGCACTGTTCTGACAGATCTGATCCCCTGAGCATGGATGGTGGGGGCAGCGGCCTGAGATGATCAGGCATGTCAATCTCACAAAGCAAAGAAGGACCGCTGGCTGGCTGGCAGGCCTGTGTGAGCTCATTTTCATCTGGAGCATAGTGAGGGAAAGGTAAAGAAATCCCCCTTTTCTTCACAACAGTTCTGATTGCCAGAGAGCTTAGCAGTGAAGAACAACCACTGCAGTTCGACTGTTTAGCAATGATAACTGCTGGAGCAAACCATGTTCCTCCTCCTCATGCTTTTGGTGTTTCCACAGGTAGTTGCCGCAGAAATGTCTCTTAATGCATCTGAAAAGAGCAAAGGCATCCATCCTTACAAGTATAAAATTCATTGGGAAGCTATTGGGATGCTTGGAAGAAACAGCTGGTTCCTTCTGTAAATTTCTATCTGCACCACAGTCTTAAAGCAGATTCAAATGCTGTGGAAGGCATATGGTACAGTGCTTGGGAGATTCCCATGAGAGAATGCATGGGGGAGTTGGCTTGTTAAGACTCGCTTCTGCAGGTGACTGGCCTGGATGTCCTTTGCAGCAACTCAGTGGATGGAGGGCTGTTCTTTGTGTCCATCATGAAGTTGGGTTCGGCTCTTTGAATGCATCCCTGTATCAGAATCTTTGGATGTGGAAACATACGTGTTGTGGAGAAGGTGTTTGGTTTACCCTTTTCTTAATGTGGTAGCTTTTTACATGCAAAATTTGGTGCAGTCAGACAAAAGATTTGCACCAGTCTGGTGATGATGCTTCGTGCCTTTTCTGGGTGTTAACTCACGCTTACATCTGAATGCTCGACGTTGCTTTGATTTATTCACCTAACTCTATCCCCCTTTCCCTTGATTTGTCAGTGGACACTGACAATGGCAGATTCCATTGTGAAATGGGTACTTCTGTTCTTTTGTATAGCGAAAGTCTCTTTTTGTAACCAAATTCTTTTTGTTGTTTTTTGGTTGGCAAAGTTTTAAATTAAAGTTGTAAAAACTCTAAATTATTCATTTGGTATTTTTGTCCTCACAAGACCTGGATATAATGGGGCTTCAACCTCTGAAGATTCACCTGAAAAAGCTTAAAGTAAGTAGCACTTTTCTAACCTGCAAAATGCTTAATTCCTATAGACCATAAGATTATTGAGTGCTGGTACATGTGTTCATACGTTGTCCCAGTAAACCTGTTCTGCAGCATAGTCTTATTAGGATCAGACAAACTACTGGTGGCTTGTCAGAGGTAGGCATTTTTGGACTGCAGCTCCCATAACCACGGGCTAATGCTGGCTGTGGCTCATCCGATGGACAACAGGTTGCCCACTCTTGATCTAAGGCCAGCAATGGTCTGTTGAGGCATTAGTCAGTATACAAGCTGTATGAAAGCCCTAGCTTATGTCAACATTTAAAATTGACTGTTGTGTTTAAAATACATGTGTTGAGACTCGGCCCCAAGGTGGAATGCAGTTTTAGAGGAGCTCTCGAAGACTGCAGTCTGCTGGTGGATGTGGCAAAAGGCTGAAGGCCAGAATACTAGAGACCAGCCTATTTTGGCTCAAAGTTTTTGCTGCTTACAATTAAGTCTTAGGAGAAGCACTACAGTCATTTAGAATGTGGAGACACAGGTAAAAGCTGTGAACTCTGCAAATGATTGGTAGGTAGGTGGGGAAAAGGGGGATCATGTGAGAAACACAGGCAGGCAGCATCCCTGGTTAAAAAGCTCCTTACCACACATACATCTTCCATGCAGGTAGAGGTTGCATGGCAGCTTGTTGGATATTGCACAAGTGTGTCACTTCCACAGAAGTCACCTTTCCTGTGCCCCTGGCAGTCTAGTGAAGGTAGATTTAAGCTGGATTCTTTAGCTCATGGTTTTAATGTTAGCCCAGCTTTGAATCCGGTGCAGTGGAGCTTGAGAAAAGCATCCAGAGAAACTTTCACACTGTCATTCAAAAGAGCTTCCATTTCTTGTACTGGGTAGGGGAACATGTGATGCTCTAGATGTTGGACTGGTAAAGAATGATGTGAGTTGCAGTCCAGCATCATTGAAAGCCCGCAACTCTCATTCCTGTCTTGCATGGTACATTTCAACATTGCCCCTGCACACCTGCTTTAATAATTGTTCTGGAGGGAATGGAAACACCTCTTAAATTTTTGATTGAACAAACATTATGCTCTAGGGTATCAGAAGCTGACTTGCACTGGGTTGTACAGATTGTTGTATAGTTTGGCTGGCAAGCAGCCTATCGGGATCTTGGGCAAAGGACTCTCGTATCTCCCGTTCCCTGACTTGCCCAGCAGCTGAGTCCAGGTGTTGAACCAGGGACAGAACATGCACAGTCTTGCTGAACTGTGATACTTCAGATGGCAGTGTGCCTGCCATCTGGCCAGGGGCTAGAGAAAGGCATCACTGGCTGCACACAGCTTAGGAGGAAGAGAATTCCTACCCTGGAGCAGGAGCGTTCCCCTGGTTACCCCAGGTGCTGGACTGCATCAGAGGTACATGACCCTTTTTGGCCTCAGAGCTCATGTGAAGTTTGAATCTGCCACATGTCCACTCACCAGAAGAGGTGGTCTTAAGGAATGGCTCACTCGAGTGAAATCCTGAATCTCCGGGAGGCCATCTACCTGACCACTCCGCCGTCCTTGGGCACTTGCTTAAATAAAGGTCCAGGTGGCCTGATAACCTGTCACATCGGATCCCCTTGGATTAGCTGGTGGTGCTTCACCCGCTGCCTCTCACCCAAGTCTTTCTGCCTGAGAGTTCTTTTCCTGAAATTAAATGATGTCCTCTCCCCTGACCATCCATTCCTTTTTCCAAGTAAGGGTGGCCTTCGGAGACTGCATCTTTTAAAGCATCAACAGAGATTTTGGCGGATAATTAGCACAGACAAACGCATGCACTTTTTCCCTCCCGCAGGCCTGTGCCCCAGATCCTCTGTACTGATCGTTCTTCCTGCACAGCAGCAGTTGGTGGGCTCACACATAATGAACCACTTCATGGTGGCTAAAATTCTCCTGTGCCTGCCAGTCAATCAGGCTCGGCAGGGGTGCTGCCTCCTTTCCCCACTCCCGAGTCCTCCTGGTGTATCTCAGGGCACACTGCAGAAGCATTGCACTGTTCCTGCAATGGAGCTGTGGCCAAGCATTTAGCACTGGCTGTGGACTCACCTTTTGAAAAAATGACTCTCCATTATCAATGCTTGGGAAAGTGTGGTTAGTCTAGGGATGCAGGAGCATTCTCCAACCTTTTTTAAAAAAAGGTTCGAAAAAAAGCAGTGGGCTCCCAAGTTGCCACTCAACATGGACACCTGTCCTCATGGACACTGTACGTGCCAAATCATAATTTCGTAGCCCTCTATTTTTTAGACTTTCAAGAAAGCTGATGGGGTGTGGAAAGCACCCTTTGCAGCAGAAACTGTGGTGGTTTTTTTGGGGGGGGTGTGCTAGGAAACCCAACAATGTGGCTGATACAGAAGAAAAAGGGCTCCCTACAACCCAGGGTTCTGCAAATTGTGTTTGAAAGGACAGCCCTTTCATTCCCCCCTCCAAGAAGGCTCTTGGGTACTTGCGGGGAGGCGTGCTAGGAAATCCCAGCTGCTCCCTCAGTTTTGCAATCTACCCTGAGTAGACAGCACTTTGGGATGGGGCAAAGTGAGGGAAACCCCAATAGTACTTTGACAAGTCATGTCCATGCAAAAGTGGGGGAGAATAAAAGGGGGAGCAAGCATGGGAAGTACCCCCCCCCCCAGTATTGCTGGGTGTCCTTGGTGGGGACACCTCCTAGATACTGCAAAAAAGATCAGGGAAGCCACATTTGGCCACAGCTTTTGCAATCATAAAATCCAAATGGTTACGTCTGGCTGCTGCCAGCTCTACACTGCTCATGGATGACACAGGGAGGGTAGGAAACCTTTCCCAGCTGCCCCATGTGCTGCTTGGGCACATTGGAGTGGCTAGGAAAAGTGGCTGCCCACTGGACCCTTGGGCAAAGTGGCAAGACTGACTGTCACTTTTGCCAAAGGGCTTTCTGTTGTTTTGACTTGATGGTGGAAAATTTTGGTCTTTGGGTTTGGGCACCACCATGGCTATAAACCTCCTTCTGGGAAGAGTGCTGAACCCAGATGGTACATTAAGCCAAGTTGTGGCCTACAAACCAATATGGCTTGGTGTTCAGTGTGGACAAAGTTAGTCACTCTTCCTTTGCTGGCCTAGCAGTGGAGGAAGAGCAATGTCTGTGTGGGTCTTGGAGAAGGAATGAAGAATGCAGGCAGAGTGGGAGGTCTAGCAGGTGCCAGAGATGGCGCACTCATGGGGGGGG